TGGCTGCCTGCAATGTGAAAGAGAAATTCACGTTGATAAGTAGACATTTGGAAGACAAGGAAGCCAATGCATACAGGTAGTGCGCTAAGGAACCATCATGCCAATTCAAATCTTTGGTGACACACTGGAATTTGTAAATGCCTCCACCGTCTTTCTCTCTGTAAGCTTCCTTTGAATGTTCTTGTCGTTCTCTCTCTTTGCAGCTACAATTGCTGCATATCAACACCAGCAAGCATTAACGTGGTCCGTGAAAGCATTCCTTCTCCATCCTCCATTTTTACCTTAGGGCCAAGGCCATGGTGCATCAGGGTCAATTCAGAATCCTTCATATGCCGTAAAAAATAAGAGATGGGAATCACGCCATACGTTTGGCACGTGTCGAGATATGTGGCTCTTCCTGTGGAATCATAGGACTTTTTTGAACCTAATAGGGGGGAAAGGAAAAAAAATCAAAGTCACAGTGAAAACTGGACTTCTGAGAAGCAATGAAGACATTCAGTGGAAAGGCACTTTTAGAGACTGCTTACTGGATAGTCCAATTGTCTCCTAGGCATCATGTCCTTCAGAATCACAACATAAGGTCACATACATCTATCCACACCAAGACAAGAAATGGAGCACAGAATCAGTTCTCACCATGCAGCTCTTTGCAATAAATAGACGCTTCAGTCCCTCTCCAAACGGCATTTTGAGAAGGACTGTGAAGGACGACAGAGATGTTTGGGGTCAATACAGGGCTCTGGGGTGCTTTTATGGCATATTTTCACACGTGATTGTTTCGCATACTGGGGAGATTTCTGCATGGTTTGGGGGCAAACTGTCCCAAAGTCATACTGATCTTTTGAAAAAACTGGAGGGTTGGGAGGCTTTTGGGGTACTGGTGAGGGACGTCATGGGACACAAAAGTGAGTCCAGGAGCCACACTTTGCCAGTCCCGATCTAGACACTGATTGCTATTTCTATCTTCCTTCAGCCAAGCGTGGGGAAAGTGTGATGCTCCAAATATTGTCAGACAAAAACTCACATCAGGCCTAGCCAGCAAAGCCAACAGTGAGGGACGATGGGAGCTACACTCCAATGACACCTAAAGGGCCATATATGTTCTCCATCCTTGCACTAAGCCATACCTTCCATTTCAAGATCTGTATCCCAGTCTTCTTCCTCTTCTTCCTCCTCCTCCTCAGAACCACTCTCCATGTTCTCTGTGTCACAGTCATTGCTTTCCTCATGAAGAATCAGAGGTTCATTGGCGGACCTGGAAAAAGCCTAAGAGAAAAATGGGCAAGTACTGTCGTTTGTTCTAGTCCCTCCTTTCTTCTCATATACCCCTCCCCGGCGTCCAGAGCTCTTGGACTGCAGGTCCCATCATCCCCAGCCAGTCCCTGCCATGCTCAGGCCTTGGGGGCGTTGTGGCCAGGCGAGCTTGGGATGGCATAGGAATGTTTTCTGCAACATCTGGTGGGCACCTTATGTGTGTGTGGTGGGGGGGAGGTTGCTAGAGAACTACAACTCCCAGCATTCCTGTGCCCAGCTCAGTCCCTGGCCGCCCAGGCTCGGCCCTTGTCTACAGAACAGCCTTTTCCCCCTCACCGCGGAGCTTCGGGACCCGGAGCTGCTTCGACTGGCCTTGCTGAGAGAAGGGCTCTCGGGGCCCCGACCCACAACGTCCGTCTCCTGCTCCAGCACCGGAGACAGTGGAGGCTTTGGCATCACTCCGGCTCGGGCCTGGTAGGCCTCTGGCTGCCATGGCAACGGCGTCGGGCCTAGGCATCGAAGGGGCGTGGTCTCTCGCTGAAGGGGCGGGCGCTTGCGGGAAGCGGCTGAGGCGATTGGCGGTAGGAAATAAGGAGCCTCTCAGGGTTTTCGGCAGGGCGGAGTGACGTCATTCCCGCTTTGGCTCACCTGGAACGCGCTCCAAGTCAACCCTAAGGATGTCTCTTTTTTGTGCTGGAGCTCGCGGGTTCGAATCCACAATTGCCAAAATCCTGGGCTTTAGGTCGAAATTAACAGCTTAAATTTCGGACTAAAACCCGGCGTGCATTCATTCCCAATTGCATCCCCAGCCAGCGCTGGAAACCAGAGTTCGAATCTTGCCTTGGCCAAAGAAACCCCTTTGGTAACCTTGGGCACGTGACACTCTCTCAGCCTCAGAGGATGGCAATGAAGAAACTGGCCAAGAAAGCTCCAGGATAAGGGTCCTTCTTAGGGTGGCTCACATGTGAACCCAGATGGTACTTACTTAAAGATGCCTACCAAAGTTGGGACACCACCTCTGAGTTTCAAGAAAGTTCCTTTGATTGGATTGCAACTCCCAGAATCCCTGATGGTCGGAGAATTCTGGGAGTGATAGTGAAGAATTCACTACCCAGAATTCTGGGAATTCTCCAACCATCAGGGATTGTGGGAGTGATCGTGCAAAAGACTGATTTGGATGTGCTCTCATATCAAAGAGTCCCGACTCTCCCGATTTGGCAGGAACAATTTTGGCTGACTCCTCTGCTGTCCCACTTTCCTCGCTGCTTTGACAATGTCCCGGTTTCTCTCTTCTCCTCCCACTTTCCCCCTTTGGTCCTCAGCTGGCTTCAATTGCCGCATACATGCAAGAGGCATTTGCATGCAATTTGCATGCAAGAAGAGAGGGAGAGGCAGAATCTTGCCTTTCCCAGTCAGCTCAGGGAAAAGCAAACTGCTGCAGCCTCTCCTCGCTCATCTTCAAATCTTCCACATCCACAACTTTTGCCATCTTGACCCCGCTCGGATGTTGCTGAGCCGCCCAGGCCCTGGGGTTGCCACAGTATGTGCCCTTGGGACATGAAATACCCGTCTGGATTTCGGAGTGCCAGTCTCCCTTCTGCATCCCTCATCCTGCAGTGCCAGAGGATGCTCAGAGAGATGCTCATCTCTTGCACATTTTTCCCCCAGGTTTCCTTGTAAGTGCCAGCTGGGCACCAGGCCAAGGCATGGTCTCTGCTTCTGTCCAAAGCTGCCAGCCGGCGATGGAGGAGTCCTGCTTGGGTCTTCTGGATTACAAGACGGAGAAATTTGCCCTCACCAGGAACAGAAAGGTGGGCCTTTTGCACCGCCTGATCCAGCTGGGCATCCTGGCATACCTATTCGGGTAAGAGGAGGGCATCAGAATGGGCATTGGCCGGGTTGGCAAAGGCAGAGAATTGCAAGTCATAGGCATTTCTGCCAGAACATTGTGGACTGCAGCCGAGAGGAAAAGTGCTGCAATGCACAGACTCTGGAGCCTGAAGCCCCTTTGGAAAGACGGCAAGGGTGAGGCGTGGGGCAAGAGGTGATGCCCATGCCAGTGGGGGCAGTGCGTCCGCCGTGGGTTTTAGTCCAAAATTGAAAGGAGCACTTGCTAGGAATCAAGGCAGGTTGGGGAAGAAGTCACAGCTCTCCCATTATTATGTCCTGATTAACTGATTTATTGAAGAGCCAGCGTGGTTTAGTGGTTTGAGAGCTGGATGACGACTCTGGAGACCAGGGTTCGAATCCTGGCTCAGCCATGGAAACCCACTGGGTGACCACAGGCAAGTCCCACTCTCTCAGCCTCAGAATAAACTACAATTCCCAGGATTCCCTAGCATTGAGCCAGGGCAGTTAAAGCAGTCTCAAACTAGATTATTTCTGCAGTGTGTCTTGGACAAATGTTTCCATCCTGCTCTATATGTCCTATGATCTCTGAACAGCATAGAATCATATGCATTTATATTATTATTATTATTATTATTATTATTATTATCTTTTCTTATATCCTGCTTTTCTCCCAATATAGGGACTCAAGGCAGCGAACAACAAGTATCAAACAATACAATTTCAAAACAGCACAACAATATTAAAATATATCAATTTCAAAATTTAAAAAACAATCAAACCATATTGAGAGCTACGACAGTTCTGAATTAAAATAGAACATGTGAAAATACAAAGCATTAAAATGTATCTCGCACAACATGAAAAACCTAGTCCTTGTCGCGCTGCATTGGCCATTTAGCAAATTCAAAGAAAAATCCACCAAACAGCGATACCTTTATCGGCCAAACAAAATGCACCATATACAGTCCTTATCAGTTTGCAACGTTAAAATCAGTTGACACGACTGGAATAAACTGGACTGCATCTTGAAGGCCTAAAATCCCAGGAGGGCCCCAAATCCCATCTGACCTTGAATGCTAAGCAGGCCCAGGCCTGGATAGGACTTGGATGGGTGACCACCAAAGGATATCCAAAGTTGTAAAGGACCGTCTGGTCTCTCATGAGCTCCACCTGCTCTTTGCAACCTGTTAGGTAACCTATTGGGGCAGTGCATCTCTAGGGCTGGAGCTTCCTCACGCTTTGGGCCTCTTGTTCTGTGTTGCAGATGGGCGCTTCTAGCCCAGAAGGGCTACCAAGAAAAGGACACCGACCCCCACGTCTCTGTCATCACCAAACTGAAAGGGGTTTCGGTGGTACGCATCCAAGAACTTGGAGACCGGCTGTGGGATGTGGCGGATTACGTCAAACCCCCTCAGGTAGGCGTCTGTTTTGGGATGAGGTTTAATCCGATAGAGAAAACCAGATTACAGTGTAGGTTAAGGCATGGGGTGCAGGGAAGCAGCATAAGATGTGGTCGACTTTTGGGGTGTTCCAGAATATTAGCAAAGGCCCCCGTTTTTCCAAAAATGTCTCAGCCTGTGCTCCAGTGCGTTTTCTCGAAAAGGATGTCCCTTGTGGCATGAAAGTAGGACTCACAAAACCCTCCAGATGCTGCTGAACAGCAGCTCCCAGCATTGCTCAACCTTGGCCAGGATGGCTAAGGATGATGGGACTTGCAGTCATAGAACATCTGGAAAGCCCCACAGTTCCTGTCATTGTTGTGTGCCCTCGAGTCATTTCCAGCTTATCTTGACTCACAGGGTTTTCTTGGCCAGTCTCTTCAGAGGAGGTTTGCCATTGCCATCCGCTAGGGCTGAGAGAATGTGACTTGTCCAAAGTCACCCAGTCAATTTCCATGGCCGAGTGGGGATTCGAATCCTGGTCTTCAGAGTCGCAGTCCAACACTCAAACCGCTACGCCATGCTGGCTGTCTTGGGAGAGTCTACCACATCCTTGCCAAGTTCGCCTTGAGAATTCATGCCTATATAGGATCTAGATCAGTGTTTCCCAGACTTTGCTCCTCAGACTTCAACTCCCAGAAGCCCCAGGCAGCTTGGCCAACAGTCAGGAATTCTAGGAGTTGAAGTCCAAAACATCTGGAGGATCAAAGTTTGGGAACGACCGATCTTGATTATGACTGCATCTGCACTGCAAAATTCATGCCATTTGACACCACTTGAACTGCCATGGCTCCATGCTGTGGAATCCTGGGA